AATCAATTTTTTGGTCAAACGGGTTTTAAATTTGAGTGTTGCTCAATAATTTGAATTTACATACGTCACACGACATAAGCAGAAGACAGACAGGACGCACAGCAAAAGTGGACGTAGGGATTACTAACACATTTGAAGTCACAAAAATTCAGAGATTGAGTTGCTGATCATGGTAGCGATTCTATACAACCGCGCGAAGGACATGTTGGATCAATCAGTCAGTCAATCCGATGATTAGTTACGAGTTTTTCATCCAGAAGTTTATTGCTTGAAAATGAGCTTATGTGATATTAATTGCTATCAAACTAATAAACCGTTATAGAGCAGAGCTTTTCTTATCACCAGCTGCTTTTTTGGTATATGCAGAGCACGTGCTAGATTTTAAAAGAATTGATTTGACTAAGAATCACATGTTGCAGGTAGCGCAAGGATTATCGAAGACACTGTAATGGGAGCACACGCTCTAAAAAGGAAATCCAAATTCCAATCTACAAAATTATTTTTGCCCTTTTCTCAAAATTGGTGAATGAAAACACCGCTAATGCATTAAATTTGAATGTTTGGCCTGTAGGTTTCAAAACAGTCAGTCTCACCCTATTCAAACTTACTTAGGCAATATACGTTTGCGATTGACTATAATATCTAGCAAAAAACCTTTTTCAGGGTATATTCGGAAGCAAGGATGGACAGGTTTGGGACTGAGTCGGAAAAAGTTCATTGTGAAAATCTTACAAATGCTTCATACTCAGTATTAAGGGTTATGGAATCTAATGGAAATTTGCAAAATTTAACGGATATTTTTGGAGCTTCAGTGGAATTCCTGATTCACTCTCATAGTAAACCAAATTCTAAGTAAGATTAAACAATGCTCAGGCGGGATTACAACCAGCGCTCACAATATATCAAAAAGAAATGCTACCCTATCCATTTTCTCCGCAAAAGTTTTCCTCCCGGATACCATTTATCACAATTATCGAGTTATCTTCGTACATAAAAGACTCATTCTTGGGAGATGTTGCAATCATATGGCTAGCTACTAAAAAATTGCCACCTTTCCTTCTGCTCTAGCACTCTGAATGGTAAGCTTAAGAATGTTTTTGAAGAACTCAAATCTTTCTGCGTAAAATTGTGTAATTGAGGAACAAGCTCTTTTATCCATAATGCTGTCCACTGCGTTTCTCTTTTCAACATGCAACTGCTCGAAAAAGCGACGATTGGAAGAAGCTAGGTCAATGGCCTTTGACGATGCTGGAGACCGTGTTTTGAGGAAAAAAGTGAAGTAAGAGAAGTTGAGTTCTTTTACTTATGGGACAGAGCTCTTTTTAAGAGTTGAAATTGCGCGGCCATCTGGTAAATTGCAACTGCATCCTAACCAGTTTTCACGCGAAGCTCCAGAAAAGGGGAGAGTAACAAAAGTGAAGTTAAGGTTAGTCG